AGTTGGCATTTTTAAAGTCACTGAATTTGAGGGGAGCTATGGTTTGGTCGCTAGAGTTCGATGACTTCAACGGCCACTGCGGCGATGGGAAGCACTTCCCGCTCCTCAGGAAAGTTCACGCTATGGTTAACGGCGATGAGAAACAAGAGACCGACTGTCCCATTGGGGGTCTCGTTCCCACTCCTACACCCACTCCCACTACAACACCCACAGCACCCCCGACACAACAGACTACTACCCAGACTGGTGGACATACAACCAGTAGTATCGACTACTGGTGCTCTAAGGATGGTTATATGCCACACCCCAGTGACCCTCATCAATACTTCCAGTGCGAGTGGATCCCAGGCCAGGGCTGGTATATCCATTTGAAACAGTGCCCGGGTATGACGAAATGGATTCAGGCAGATAAGAAATGTGATGGTTAAGGCATATCATAAGTCATAACCCTTACCAAAATGAAGTCAATTTCTAGTGTTTATGTGTAATTGAATGCAATTTTTAAATGTAAACCCTCTGTAAATAAACATATTATAATTTAAACATAAACTTGTGATTAATTCCTTAAATGACTAATAAATGGATTATTTATAATTAAGTTCACTATTAATCCTTACAGCGAATAAAAGTTTTATTACAACAAAGTAATACAGTATATTTTTGCATGTATAATATTTTCCACACTTAAGAGTTTATATGGTGAAGTTATTTTGTAGACAAAAATCAATTCATTAATTGTCATATTTGTTGAATAGTTAACATTGAATTTGTTTAAGTATTTAAAGTATGTTTTTGTGACATATTTGATACATATATGAAGAACTAGAAGTTCTCAATATATCACCGCTTATTAGTACAGACATGAATACTGTAGATGATGTAGTGGATGGCTGTGGTGAGTATAATCAATGAGATTCCACTCATGAGTTTAAGTCATATAATATCTTTTTAAAATCATATTTATTATCCATTTCAGAAGCAGACAAAGAATTAGACCCACATATGGATCTACAAATAAATCCACAAATGGATCCACAATTACCAGAACCAGAATCGGATGACCCGCACAACGAAGACATCGCTTATGAAGACTCCGATGACTACGAGGACTACTCAGGCGAACCACTAGTGGTTAAACCCATTATCTATACAGTTCTGGGGCCACCGGAAGATGTAAACCTATTTCGGACAGATTTTGAACTCAAATACGGGTCAACTCATCCGGAATTCTTTGTCGGCAACTATAACGAGGCCATCGATGCGGCCAAACGTGACTTCAGATTCCTATTGGTTTACATTCACTGGGATTCACACGAAGAGACCGAAAAGTTTTGTCAATCGGTTCTCATAAACCAGAAGTTCATCGATTGTCTCACTGAATACAACATCATATTCTGGTCCTCTGATGTCATATATCCGGAGGGATTTGTTGTGAGACAACAGCTCGAGGTAACCACTTATCCATTTATGGCACTGATTTCCATGAGAAAGAGTCAGATGGTTGTGGTCCGCAGATTAGAGGGAATCACTCTTTTGGAACCATTGATAGCCCAACTGAGGGACGGTATCGTAGAGAACCGGTCGGCTCTGGAAAGGGCTAAACACCAGAAGATGATCCAACAAATGAATGAATTGCTACGACAGGAACAGGAGGGCGCTTATGAGGTGTCTCTAAGAGTGGATCGCGAAAAGGAGAGACAGAGACGGGAGGAGAGGACACGAGTGGAAAGGGAGGAACAGGAGGCCAACGAACGAATGCAACGTTTGCTTCAATTGAAGGAACGATTGATCCGTGAAATACCGACTGAACCGCAACTCAATGACACGAATGCAACACATGTTGTGATTAAACTGCCGAATGGTAGGCGTCTGGAGCGACGGTTCCTTAAGACTGAATCCATGAGATCTTTGTATGACTTTGTGTTTTGCAATAACGACTCTCCGCTTAACTTCATTATCCATACAAATTTCCCGACCCGTGACCTACCCGGCCGCTCACCACAACTCGAAGACTTCTTAGTGGATGACAATGTTATCACTCGAGTTGATGACAACACTCAGTGGACAACTCTGGAGGAATCGGGTGTCGGACACAAAGAGATGCTTTATATTAAAGAATTAGATAACTAACAGAATTTGAAAATTTTATAACAATATTATTGCAATAATATATATTAAAAATTATAAATAAAAATAATAATAAAGTATTAGATTATAATTATATCTCAAAATCAATTCATTTGTTGGGCAAAGAATCCGTGAAAAGTACCGGTGATCGCGGATTTGGTGCGAAACCGGGCCCGACCTAACTCTGTGAACGTCTTGGCGTCCAATACCAACAGAAAGCCTTCCGTTTCGTCCAATTCAGAGAGTA